AGTCATACTTCTGGAAGTATGGGGAAGTCGACTACCCTGACTCCATGAATGCTAGAGTTTTCAACCAAAAAAATTCTGGTGTACCTGAAAACAACCCCTCTGGAAAAAAGTATGGAGCGCTCCCTTAAACTTAGAATTGAACTGCCATTTGACCTAGCAATTCCACTTCCAGGCATCTATTCCCAGGACATAAAAGTGCGCTCTTAAAAGGACATATGCACACCATTATTCAATGCTGTAGTCAATACAATAACTAAGATATGAAATCAACTTAGGTGTCCAATGATAGATGAATGGATCATGAAGGTGTGGTATATACACACAATGGAACACTATGCAGCTTCAAGGAATGATGAAATTATGCAATTTGCTGAAATACGGTCAGAACTGGAAGATACCATGTTGAGTGGAATAAGTCAGAAGAAGAAAGACAAACACAGAATTATCTCATTTATCTGTGAAATATAAAAAGCTGGATGAGGAAATGTACTGTAGTAAAAAGGGGATGCTCGGAACATCCTTGACCCCAGAATTTAGAGAGGAGGCAGAGAAGGAAAGAAATCAAGGGGGAAAGAAAAGAATGAAAAGTAATGGGTTAAAAGGCATTAGGGCTTCAGTTATACCAGCGATATGTGTGAGGGCTATAGCTATATATGCAAGACACAGATTCAACAGAACTGGAAACATGAGATCTAAGCGGCAATGTCTGAGATTTTGTAATGTGCCTGTCCAGTTGACAGGAAGGAGTGGGATGGGGACAGAATCTAAGAACACTGGTGGAGGGACCTGTGGTTTCAGGAGGTCTCTGAACAAGAGCAGCAAAATTCAGACCTTGACCCCTTGATTCTAGACCTAAGCCCCAAAATAACTGCATCTGTTGACTGAAATAATTATGACTGTAGAGTGAAATTAAAATTTTGTAAAGGAGAAATTTATTAATAAATTTTATTATTGTATATAATTTTTTAATCAGGGAGGTTATTCAGAGACAAAAAGAGTTGGCTAGACCAAGGAGACAGACATCATATTTCTCTGGCTGACTGGCCCTGCTCTTGAAGTTTTGGTCTTGGGAACACAAATTCCCATGCAGAAGAGAACACAAATTTTTTTTGGAAAAGTAGGTATCTAGTTAATTTCAAAAATTTTTAGTTATTTAAAAGACATTAGCTTCTAATAGACTTACTCTATTGATAAAGAAAAAACAGTGTTCACAGATTCCAGGTAATTCTTTGATCTTACAGAGTTGATCTAGTCAGAGTTTTCTATATTTGGGAAGATGTTTAAGTCCTGTTTCCTAAGAGCATCCTGTAAACACAAGGGTGCATTCAGGTCCCATCTTATACTTCTAGCAGCTTGCAAACAGGATAGGAGCAAGCTTAGACTGTGACTGCAGACTCTATTGAACCTCAATTCTGCAAGAATAATGTCATTACTTGTTAACATTAGTTTTCTATGTATACCCTTCCCCCTGCCCCCCCCCCCCCCACACGCCCCATTTCAGCCAGGGTGAAGCTGACATTTTATTTTATGTTCTTTATTCATTTTTCTCTAACACCTAGCTGTGTTCAGGGATTATTCCTTGCTCTGTGCTCAGGGATCACTCCTGGAGGTGCTCAGGGGATCATATGTGGGGCCAGGAATTGCACTGGGTTCAGCCGTGTGCAAGGTAGGCACCTTTACCTCTGTACTATTACCGTGGCCCCCCAAAAATCTTTTTTTAGGGTAAGAAAAAATAAAGCAATCTCCAAAAATTGTGTTTCCCAAAAAATTCCTAGTTGGGGGAAATAAGAAAAACTTGCTATATAATCAGAGCAAATAATGAACAAACATTGGCATGTAATATTCAAATTAATAATCCTTAATGGGAGTTGCCCCCCAAGAGCAGCTCTCTGGCACAGCCATGGCACCAGACGCACATGGAAATAATCCAGAGCCCAGCAGCTTGCAGCAGAAATGTGAATGGACTAGGTGTTAAACTCCGGCACCATGCCCCCCCCAGGAGGGAAAGGGTGTCTGTCTCTTTTGCCTCACCCCCCCTCCCCACCACTGGCAGCATGGTGGCTACTGCCACAGAGCTTATTGGAGAGCCAGGTATGAGCCGGTGGTGACGGGGCAACTGCAGCCTCATGGGAAGGGGGACAGAATCGGCTCGTCCTTCATGCCCAACTGAGGCCATGAGTTGCCCCCCACAAGTGGCTCTTCGGAACGGCCATGGCACCAGACGCACAGAAAACAATCTCGTAATTATCCGGCTCTTGGCAGAAATCCCTCCAGACTTAATTAATAAAGTATCAGAAATCCAAAATCGTGCGGCTGCTATTGAGGCTGCGTGACATCATATGGTTTTCATAACCAGCAATAGAAAACAAATTATTTCACAATGCCTTTTCAGCAGTTCTGATTGTTGGGGGGAAATTCCAAACAACAATGGTGCATCTTTTGTTGAAATGATGAATGTATTCAAAGTAGAGAGTTAAGTAGAAATCATCTGCCTCACAGGCATCGGGAGGGGTAGGAAGGGGGGTATATTTGGGTTCTTGGTGGTGAAAAATAATTACTGTTGAGGGGAGGGATGTTTGATCATTGTATGACCGAGACTTTTAATCTGAAAGCTTTGTAACTTTTCTCACCGTGATTGAATAAATAAATTAAAAAAAAAAAGAACTCTCATACACTTTTGGTAGTAAATCTTAAAACAACTTATTCCAGTTGTAGTTGGCAAATATAAATCAGGAACCCCTAAATTCCCTTTAAATTATGCCCTATGATGCAGTAATAGATCACATTTTCAGGAAGTTTTGCTAAGCAAAGTGATCTGAAAAAAACAAAAAGATTTCTGTAAAAACAGTTTTCCAAGAAAAACTGAAAACAATAAAAATTTTAAGCAGGAAAAAAAATCCTTAATGGAACTTGCAGCAGCGTAGGTGCTTGGTTCGCGACTCTCTTATTTTCTGTTCCTTCCCAACACTTCCAGAAGCACTGGTTTGTATATTATCTTAACAAAGTGGGCAAAATATTTGGTAGCTGCACCAAAAAAAGAGCATTGTTGCCTCTAGCATTGAGATAGATAGTGAGATAGGTGAAGAGAATTTCTGCCACCCCTGAGACTGGTTGGGTGAGAGGGTTAAAGAGGTCAATTATGAGAAAACTAGCTTAGCCCTGAAGGTCTGTTGCTAGTTTTGATTATATATATATCTTTTTCATCTCGTGGTGTTCAGTAAATATTTGTTCAGTGAACAAAATAAATGTAAGGTCAGACTCTGCACAAAAGTCAGAGAAATCTCATTTCATGGAAAAGCTAGCTGAATTAAGGTCAGGTTTCCACAGTCATCTCTGTTTTATCTTAAGATGATCCCATGTGGGATCTGAGAGACTTTAGCACCAGGTTTTACTGAAAGGCAGAAATGGAAATACTTTCCCTGAGACCTGAAAGGCTAACTGTCACTACCTGACTCATGGTCCTCTGAGACTCATCTTACCCCTACAAACACTGGCTTATCCAATCTGACTAAGTCAGGTGTGGCAGAGGCATTAAAGGGGATGGCTGGAGTTTGGCTGACTTCTAATCCTGGGTGGTGGGTTGAATTGGACAAGTTATATAAATTCTTAGTGACTCCATTGACTCATCTATAAAATGGGAATAACAATATTTTCCAGTTCACAGAATGCAGATTGTATAGTTAAGTCACACCGGAACTTAGAATGCACACTGAACTTAGTATCTGTTAATTATTGTTACTGGAGCATATTTTTTCCTATGGATAATAAATATGAGTGAAACACATTTTTACTTAGTAACTGGCTTTACTGAGATGGGCGCTTTCTTGTGGCAGTGTGGACTGCAGCACCGAATCTCTCGTGAAAACTTAAATTTTTTTTTTGGTGTGGGAGGGGTGGTGGAGATGTGTACTGCCTTGTTCTACTGATGTCTTGAATATTTATTTATTTTGTCTCTTAGGTGACCCTCTAAACCCTCTTTCTGGAAAGGATTTGTCTGACAAGAACAGAACTCTGTCTCATTTATCCAAGGTCACGCACACAGGACTCTGTATGTGTTTATTATTACTGAAGAGAAGTTTATTTATGGATTATAAATATGAAAAAAACACATTTTTACTTAGTAACTTAAATTTGACATTCTTCGAAAATATCTTGTTTGTGTGTGTCTGTGGGTATCAGTGTAGGCAGTGAATGGAAATATGAGAGAAAATAGGGAAAGGAAAATGAGAGAGAAAGAAAAGCTGGGTTTTGGTAATGAAAAAACCAAAAACCACCTTGGTAAATAAACTGCCACAACTGAAGATGACCTTCTGAAGTTATCTTTAATTGTGGCAGTATATTCACATCTTATCATTTCTGAATATGTGTAATGACTTACGGAAGGTAACAACAAACACCATTAGTAATGGCAGAAGTTTACATACTATGCTTTGTTTTGTTTTTCGGACTTTGGGCCACATCCGGCTGTGCTCAGGGCTTAATCCTGACTCAGTGCTCAGGGATCCGTCCTGGGTGGTCTCAGGTTCAGCTACGTGAAAGGCAAGCACCCTACCAGCTGTACCATAGCTGTTTTCAACATACTATGTTTGTTCCCAGTGCCTTTTCCTCTACCTCCCATTTATTTTTGTAAACAAGTCGTTGGAGTTTTAAATTTTTGTTTAATGACTACTACAACACAAGCCTGCCGCAAGTGCTACACCAGGCATACCCTATTTCAAGACGTGGTTTATAAGCTCTTCCGAAAGGAGCAACAGTCCGCCGGCCGATAGAGGGCGCCGAGGCGCTGTCCCCAGCGTTGGTGGAGGTGGAAGGCGGGGCTCGTGAGAAAATTAAAAAAACAAAACGAGACGTCAGAAACCTGCTTTTAATTGGGCAAGCGCTTCGGCCCACCATCCAATCAGAAGCGTTTGCGTCATCACTTTCCGGAGCTAGGAAGTCACCCGCGGAAATTTGAAATGTCTTAGGGGTTGACGGAGGCTGCGGGACTGGGCGTGAAGGCGATGGCAGAGGAGTCTGAACACGCAAACGTGGAGGCCGACGAGGGGCTGGCGACCCCCGGGAAAGGTGAGTGGCAGCCGGGCCGGAGAAGGCGCAGCCTCCTCGCGACGCCGGTTTCCGGGGTCCGCTTTCCCTGGGCAAGCTTGGGTCGCCGGTGTCTGGGTCCAGCTTGGCCCGGGCGGCGCTGCTGCTGCCTGCGCGAGGCCTGGAACGTCCCAGCTAGCGGGGCTGTCAGAGTTCCCGAGGCAGCGAGCTCCACCTCTCAGCCCCACCTGGCGCATCTGGACCGAACCAGGACCGGACCGGATCAGCCTGCCTGGATGCCGGCAGCGCATTGGGGGGCCGGGGGGTGCGTATTGCTTGGTGGAGAGCGGGCGCATCTTTTCCATCGACACTCTCTTTTCGGGAAAGAGATGCAACTTGAACACTTGGTCTAGAAATTTGGTCTAGAAACTCGAATCCTCCATCTAGATTCTCAAAGAACCTATCAAAGAACACACACACACACGCACACACACACACGCACACACACAACCAAAGAAGCTAGGGAGCCAGTTTAGACACACACACACACACACACACACACAACCACAGAAGCTAGGTGAGCCGGTTTACACACACACACACACACACACACACACACACACAACCAGAGAAGCTAGGTGAGCCAGTTTACACACACACACGCACACAAAACCAAAGAAGCTAGACGAGCCAATTTAGAGACACACACACACACACACACTCTCTCTCTCTCTCTCTCTCTCTCTCTCTCTCTCTCTCTCTCTCTCTCACAAAGAAGCTAGGCGAGCCAGTTTAGAACTGCCTGAAAGCAAACCCCTGGTCTCCTAAACTTCAGTTTTCCTGATGATTTTTTTGTTTTGTTTTGGTGATATTTTAAGGTGATTCAGTATTTTTCCGTTGTGTAGTGGAAAGAGTGCTGATGTTAAGCTGTGACTTAATTCCACGACCAATCTGTCGTGTGAACGTCTTTTGGCTTCTGTTTTCTCATCTGGAAAACAGCCACTAGTCCAGTGGAGTGGTGAAAAATATGTGAGAAGTAACTCTCAAAGAGACTGTTAAGGATTGTACGCTAAAATGTAAGGGTATTTCCCTCCTGCCCTTAAAAAATGTTTTTAAACGGGCCAGAGAGATAGTACAGCTGGTAAGCCTTGCCTGGGACCAACCTGGGTTCAGTTACCTGCACCCCACATGGTCCCAAGCACTGCCAGGAGTGATCCCTGAGCAATGAACCAGTAGTAAGTCCTTAGCACCTCTGAGTGTAGCCCTAATGAAACCAAAAAGTTGCCATAAAATACATATGACATAATTTACCTTCAACGGTTTTAAAACACACAGTCCAGAGGTACAAAACCAATGCTTTGTTGTGCAGCCATCATCCCATAATTCTCTTCATCTTGTAAAAGGGAAACTATTGGATAGTAACTAAATGAAACAAACCTATTGAACAATAATTCAAGTAACTAAACTTAATTCCACCACTAAGCTGTTTTTAAACTGGCAAATGTCTTTTGGCTTTTGTTTTCTCATTTGAAAAACAGCTACTAGCCCTATGAAGTGGTGTAAATGAATAACGAATAATGTTCATAACTTTCATCAATAGTAATAAATAGGCAAAACCAATTGAACTATGACTCCAAAATCTGTCTCACTGGCTAACTGCCATTCTGCCTTCTGCTTTTGTGATTTAGTCTATATTCAGTGAAATCATTTGTGACTTCTTTGTGACTGGCTAATTTTACTAAACACAGTGTATTCAAGGTTCAGCCATGTTGCAGCACAATGCAGAGTTTTCCTCCTTTTTAAGATCAAATAATACTTTATTATATGTATTTATTGTGTTTTACATGTCCGTACATCAACTTGTGGATACTTAAGTTGCCTCAGATTTTAGCTGTTGTGAATGATGCTGCATTGAACATGGATATGCAAATGTCCCCTGGAAACTCAGCTGTCAGTTCATTTGAGTTTATATCTAGAAATAGAATTGTTCAGTTTTTTGATAGCATTGCTAACTTTTGTCCTTCTTGCTGATTTTCTTTTGATATTATCCATCCTAATGGGTGTTAGGTGGAGGTTATTTCTTTAACAACATTTATATATGCAGTATATAATTATTGCCTTGCTTGCGGCTGACCCTGGTTCGATTCCTCCGTCCCTCTCAGAGAGTCCGGCAAGCTACTGAGAGTATCCCACCTGCACGGCAAAGCCTGGCAAGCTACCCATGACGTATTTGATATGCCAAAAACAGTAACAACAAGTCTCACAATGGAGACATTACTGATGCCCGCTTGAGCAAATCGATGAACAATGGGAAGACAATGCTACAATGCTACTATTTATTATATAAGAATTATTAAATTTGAAATTATTGATATTATATAAATATAATACTGCATATACAAATGTTGTCTAAAAACACATATACTGTGCCCTTAATTGAAGTAAGTATGTTATTTTCATTTTTCCTTTTTAGGCAAGGAAACTGAAGCATAGATTGTCACACTAAGTAAGATCTCAAGTTTGTGTGCATTGTTTGTGAATAGCAGGCATTTGAGTACATTTGGGTCATTTGTGGAGTCAATTAATCCTGGTGGCTTGAACAGGGCAAAAAAGTCTAAGGAAGAAGAAAATATCATGGGGCTGAGATTGAGATTGGTGAAAGGCTGATTGGTAATAATCTCAGAAATCCACCTTAGAAATAGCTTGCTGGTCTGAGTATTGTCCACAGCATTGTTTATTTAGTAGTCCTTTTTGTTTATTAAAAACATATTTGTAGAATCAGATTTGCCATTGGCCAAATCACATCTTCTGAGATCTAATTACATGTAGCCCTAACCTAATGTGATTAAAGGTAAAGGTAAAGGTAAAGGCCTTCCCGTTGATCATCGATTTGCTCGAGCGGGCCCAGTAACGTCTCCATTGGAGACTTTTGTTGTTACTGTGTCTGGCATATCGAATATGTCACGGGGAGCTTGCCAAGCTCTGCCGTGCGGGTGAGATACTCTCGGTAGCTTGCCGGGCTCTCCGAGAGGGCAAAGGAATCGAACTCGGGTTGGCCATGTTGGCTGCGTGCAAGGCAAACACCCTACCGCTGTGCTATCGCGATAGCACAGCACCTAATGTGATTAGCATTTTCTAATCTTTTCCTTAGATACAGTCATTGAAATTAGTGAGGAGGAACTTAGTAGCTTTAATGAATATAGCCTTATGCATTATTAAGAATCTCTCAACCTTGTTGGAATGAGAAGCATTGACAGACTGATAATTGTAGAAATAAAGGAGACTTCAACTCTTCTGAGGAAGAATATGAAATTAGCTCCTTATTTTAGTACAGACTTATAGAATTGTTTTGGAAAAGAAAATTACTATGGTATTTAACCATTAAGTTTGCTACTTAGCTATGCTAAAAATTAGAACTGTATCATTTGGAGAAGATTTTCTTGGGCGATTACCCCTGGATTAGGAAAAAGATATTTCCTCCCTGAAAAACATCACAGTACAACAGTCTAACAACCTGGTGAAAGATTTTTAAGTTCTTAATAAAATTTTACTAGATTTTGATATATTTTGAAGTTTAGAAAACTGAATTTTTGAGATATTTTGAAGTTTAGAAAACTGTTTTCTGCTGACAATGAGAAATGTAAATAAAGTATCATACTCAAACTCTTGTTTATATTTGGGGTTTTAAGGCAAAAATATCAAAATAAAAGGACTCTGTAAGCATTGGATGTACCTGAGATAGTTGAGCTTCTTATCTTACTATTTGTTCTTTTAGATTTGTACCAAGATGCAGATTCATGCAGTGATTGTAGCAAGCACGATCAGCCAGGAAGTAGTTTACAAAGTTTTGTGCTGGAAGGAAAAACTCTTTTCCCAGAAATGTTCCAAACAAGCCATCTTTTATTTTATGAACGGTTCAGAGCCTATCAAGATTACATTTTAGGTGAGTTGGTGGTCTCCTTTGCTTCTTTCATATTTTCAGTTTTATTGTAGATTATCTATTTTAGTTCCTCATTTCGAGAGTTGTTGGTTCTGAGAAAGTATGCTTTAACTTTGTTCTGCTTTATGAGGTCTCAATTCTTACTGTGTTTAATTTGTTTGTAGCTGATTGCAAGGCCTCTGAGGTAAGAGAATTCACAGCTGAGTTCTTGGAGAAGGTCCTTGAACCATCTGGATGGCGGGCAGTCTGGCACACTAATGTGTTCGAGGTGCTGGTTGAGGTAAATTTAATTCTGTTGTTAAGACATTTGTTTCTAACTAAAAGTACTTTCCTTCAGGCGGTAATAACCAAAGTGCTTATTTTTAATTAAAGTTTATGAGCTGATTGAAAATACCATGCTTTTCACATCTAATTGCCACAGTGTATGAAGTGTGCCGCAAATTTTAAAGGCCACTGAGAACGAGTTACCAGGGAATTGATGTGGTTAAAGTGTAAGTCTTTTCTGACAAGGAAGAACGGCTTTATAAACCTAAGAAGTAGAGGAGGTATTTAAGATCATTTAAAAATAGAGACCTAATTATGAAGTCAACCGGAGTTTCAATTAATTTTTTTACCTTCTTAGTTGTAGCCCATTAAGTAGCTCAGACCAAATAGCGTTTTAAAACAAGCCTCTTTTTTCTTTTGCCTAACAAATTTCTAGGTATGTGGTTAATCTCTTGATAATGTGTCTCATTGCAGAAAGTAAAAACAATCTTATTTTTCAACTGACTAGGCCTTTTCCATTAGATTTGCACTCTAATTACAGCTGTGAATTTTTCTCAGCACTTGTTAACCAGACCACAAAAAAACACCCCGTTAAACTATAATATTAAACCAGGGAGTATAAATGAATACAAGTTGTTACTGCATCTCCTTTAGATAATGACATCACATACTGCAGTGATTATGAGGCAGTGGTTTGCAGCTGTTCTTTGTGATTTTAATTTCAGATTATGTTAATATCTTTGTACAGGTAACAAATTGGACTTGATAGTTCTCCCCCCTCCCATCAGTTCTGTAAAAGCAGTTATAGGCTTTTTTTAAAATTTCTGTTCATTTATTTGTTTATTTTTGGTCGCCCAAGCAGTGCTCAGGCAACTCCCAGGGCTGTATCTAGTGATGTTTGGGGTGAGGCGGGTGAGGCATAAAATGCAGAAGATTAAACTAGGGTGGGTGCATATAAAGAACTGTGCTTAATTTCTGCCATGTCCCTGGTCCATAATCATTAAGAGAGTATTAAGAGAGAACTGTGTCATCGATCTGCTCTAAAATATTGTTTCTACCAAAGGCCTGATAGCTTTATGCTTTATGAAGTCTATCTCTGGCACAGAGCCTTTTGCATTTTCCTGCTTTTCAGATGGCTGCTTCCTTTTGTTCCTTTTCATTGTTCCCAGAAGCACTGCTTCTAACCATCCCAGCCAAACTAGACTTCATCCCTACTAGTTGCTATCTTGTTTGTTTGTTTCCTTGACATTCTTTTTCATTACAGATTTTAAAAAGCCCCTCTGCTCTAATTTCATGCTTTTAAAAACATCAGGCTATAATGTTTTATATTATATCACTGTCACTGTCACTGTCCTCCCATTGTTCATCGATTTGCTCAAGCGGGCCCAGTAGCGATCTCCATTGTGACAATTGTTACTGTGTTTGGCATATCAAATACATCATGGGTAGCTTGCCAGGCTCTCTGAGAGGGGCGGAGGATTTATATATGTGTTTTAATTTAAAATAACTTTAATCACCATGTTAAATCTCTTCTTTTAAACTTCAGGTCATAGATGTGGACTTTGCAGCCTTGAAGGCAGTGGTGAGGCTAGCCGACCCTTACCTCTGTGAATCTCAAGTGAGCACATTTACGGTGGAGTGTATGACAGAGCTCCTCCAGCTGAAGGAACATCAGTTACCTCTGCAGGAGCTGTGGGTGGTATTTGATGATTCTGGAGAATTTGACCAGACAGCACTTGCAATTGAACATGTCAGGTAGGATGAAAACTCGGTGAAAATACTCATGTGGCCAGAAACTTTGAATAAAATGCAGCAATTCCAATCTGTTATTAGACCCAGATTTTAAATTCATACTTAGGATAGAGGAATGGGGAGAAAACTCAAAGGGCTGGAGTGCATGCTTTGCACTGTGGGTCACTGCGTTTGAGTCCTCTCAACTCTGATTCTCCGAGAAACCAGGACTGACTTCTGAGCTCTGAGCTGGGAGTAGCCCCTCAGCACTGCCAGGTATGGCCCCAAACCAAAGTAAATAAATAAATAAAACTTAGACTTGTTCATTGCAATATTTAAAAAATATTCAAAGACAAGGGACTCTTTAAATGACAAACGTTTTTCTTGTCTGTTTGTTTTTGGGCTACATTAGGCTATGCTCAGCAGGCTAATCTGGAATTCCACAAGATTATAAATCAATGATAATAAGTAAAAATTTTCAAAAATTCTTTTTGTTCTAGGTATATAAATGGAAAGATAAATATTATGAATAATTTTTGTGTTAATGCATTTTAAGACTTATGAGATAGATAAATTCTACAAATAAAATTTAGCAAGAGTGAAGAGAATGAAGAAAAATTTAAGGGGAAAATCTGAATAGGCCTATAGAGGTATAAAAGTCCGCTTTATCCTAAGAAATGGAATATTGTCTTTATGTTAGAAAATGTATTATAGATAGCTTAAGTATCTGCATTAATAAGTAAAGGATTGTAATAAAATTCTCCAAGAGAACCTAATCAGATATATAACGTTTGACAAAAATGTTCATCTCCTATTGCGAATGTATAAAATACTGAAGTAGAGTAGGAGTAAACAAACCTTTCTTAGTCTAGTAGAGAACAGTCATAAGTGCCATGATTGAATGCCATGCAGGGTCGAATGCTGAGGAGTTTGTGTTGCCGTTTAAAGAAGCTTCTTTAATGCTTTTTACAAGGCTGGTTTTAAGACTGTGAATTCCTTAGCTGTTACTTCTCCCCAAGGCTCTATATTGTTCCTTTAAAACTGAATGATATCTGGCGGGATATTCTTAGGGACATGTTTATTTCATTGAGTTTTTGTATTGTATCCCTCTGGATGTGGTCCTAGAGGTCCCCATCACGGCTGTGGTGGACCAGGTGGTTCCTGGCATTGCAGGGCCTGAGAGCAGTTCCAAATCCTCTGGCCTTAGCATTGAACCTTCCAGAATTGCCCCCAGACTCTCTTAATACTGCATGGGATGTTAAGAGAGTCTGGGGGCAATTCTGGAATTGCCCTCCCCTCCCCCCAAAAAGTATAATGTATTCCTTCACAACCTTTGCTCAATAACCCCAAATGTTAACATGATATAAACATATTTATAAAGTTTTTGAAAGTTCATACTTAAGATTTTGTACCTGAATATCAGAGGAAGAAGACAAAGAGGGAAGGAGACTTATACATTTAATTTTTCCAAGGGACTATCTGATTAAAGAAGGCCATTTCCAAGATACTTAGGGAATGTGTACAAACCCGTCAGCCACTTTTGCCTTTGTTGATTTCCACTTGTACAGGTGTGCCTTATGTCCTAAATGAGAAGGAAGACTTTCTGTATATTGCCTTCTTCTAGATTAATAGATATAATTTTTTAAAAAGCTTTCAGAGAGATTTTTTGATAGAGTTCCTGATACAGACATTTTGGATCTTTTGTATATAAATATATTCACTATTTTTATTATTTATTTATTTGGGTTGTAGTGATAGCACAACTGGTAGGGCGTTTGCCTTGCATGCAGCCAACCCGGGTTCGATTCTTCTGCCCCTCTCAGAGAGCCCGGCAAGCTACCGAGAGTATCTCACCCGCATGGCAAAGCCTGGCAAGTTACCCATGGCATATTCGATATGCCAAACACAGTAACAAGTTTCACAATGTTATTGGGCTTGCTCGAGCAAAATCGATGAACAGCGGGAGGATAGTGACAGTGACAATGATTTATTTATTTATTTATTTGCTTTTTGGGTCACACCCAGCGATGATTAGTTACTCCTGGCTCTGTACTCAGGAATCACCTCTGGCGGTGCTCAGGGTACCATATGGGATGCTGGGAATCAAACCTGGGTGGCCGCGTGCAAGGCAAACGCCCTACCCGCTGTTCTATTGCTCCAGCCCCTAAACATTTTTAAAAGTTGTTGAAGAACGCTGTTTGAGAAACTGGAAGACTGGTTGATATAATGAGCATGCCATTAATATTGTTTGCTGTTTTGTAGTTTTAAAAGTACTTGCTAGTTTTGAGCTTGCTTCTGTTGAGCTTAATTTAAATACAAAGAAGCAACGTGTCCAGGGTCCTGCTGCTGATGTCCCCAGGAAAAATTTAATGTTATGCAAGAATTTTATTCTAAGTGTTCAATATTAGGTCTGGCAATATAAGTCTAAATAACTGGCTTCTTCCCAGAATGGAAACAATTCTCTGTTCTTCTCTCATTAAAAAACAACAGTAGAGAGACTGGAGTGATAGTGCAATGGATAGGGTGCTTGCTTTGCACCGAACCAACCTAGGTTTCAATCCCTGGTACTGCATATGATCCCTGGAGTACTGCCAGAAGTGATCCTAAGCATAGAGCAAGGAGTAAGCCCTCAACGCTGTAGAGTGTGACCTAGCCCCTAACCTCCAAACACCCCAAAACAAACAATAATAACAGCCCCCTTCCAAACAATAATAAAACCCCAACACATGAATTTAAGTTGGTAAAGGGATGACTAATAAGTTCAGGCAATTAGGAAACAGGGAGCTGATCTCGTTTAGCATAAAAGTTAGTAGAAAGATAAGTCTCTGAAATTAGTGACAGTTTTATTTAAAGAAAAAAAATTTATTTAAAACTAAATTTATTTTGAGGGTTCAGAATCTGGTCAGTATCTGGAAAAGGTCAAATTATAAGGATTTTGTTTGATTATTTTCTAAGTATTTGAGTGCTGGATTCTTCCTGAGTGAGGTGTGAGGTTTGACTGGTTCATGAAACAAATAGCCACTGAGGACCTCTTGGTCCAAAGGTGGAAGATGATTATTCCACAAAAATCTATAGCTGATTGGAAAATGCAGTGATAGCTATAAACAAAGTGTCCTAACACTAGCTTCTTTTGCAGTGTCCTGTTATTATTTCCTGGGGAATGGTTTTGCTGTGCTTAACTCTGAAGGTTTAGCTAGACGAAAGTAGTAGAGGAAAAACATTAGGAGCTAGGAGGTTTAAGGAGCAGAAAGACCAGAGCCAATAATGGGACAGATCTCCGAAACTAACTTAGAGAAGTACCAGGATAAAAGTTAGTTATATTAGAAGATATAGGGTTTTGTCAGCCTTTTTTTTTCTTTTCCCCATTTAATTTTTTTATATTGAGGCGATATGGTTTAAGAGTAATATTGAGGTCATTATTGTATAGTTGTAGAGTACTACACTAGTCCCTCCTCAAGTGTTTAAAAATCGCTTCACTGTTTCCCCATGATCTCTTCTCCCTCCTTCTCCACTGCCTTTCCTTGTTGTCTTTAAGAGCTGCATGTATAACCATTGAAGAGTTTCTGTTCAGGTACCACCAACTTTTGTTTAAAACGTTTTGTTCTGGCTGCTTTGTTGAAATGAGTTTATTGAGATGGAACTGCCAGACCGATTAAGAGAGTGGGACTGGAAAGATAGAAGAGGAGTTAAGGCAGTTGCTTTGGAGGCAGCTGACTGATTTAATCCCCAGTGTTGTATTGAGTTCACTGAGCACAAAGTCAGAAATAATCCCTGCGCACTGCCAAGTGTGACCCACCCTCTCTAACCCCTAGTAAAGACAGAATGTGGACTACAGTTGAGATAAGAAGAGGACAGCTTGGAAGCTTATTAAGACAGTGGGATGGTTAAGATTTAACGGATATGTGGATGAAAAGATGTGGGTAGATATGGGAGAAGTAATTGGCTCTCAGCTTTCTGTTGCCAGAGAATAAATAAAAGTGGAGAAGTGGTAATGTGAATGCCCAATGTCAGTGCCCACTGTGGAACTTGTGAGTTCCACAATATTTGAGCTGGGTCAAGAAACCTGAGTCTTCGCTTACCAATCACAGATTGCTCTTCCAGCAATCCAATTTGTTTGTCACCTGGAGGTTTGAAAAAGCTTGTGAAATTGGGAGCTTTCTTGCAGAGGTCTGAGTATCCGTGGGAATAAAGTTCAGACAAATATACTTTATGCTGGGACAACCAGTTGAGCAGTGGAGTATTTTAGTTTTATTTATTTATTTATTTATTTATTTATTTTGTTTGGCCATACACACAGTGCTCAGGAGACCATGTAGTACTGTTGATGGAAACTTGGCTTCCTGCATGCAACCCTGCACTCAGCTTGTCGAGATTTCTCCCCATCCCTAGTTGGACCTTTGAAATTACTCTCTTATTGTGTAGAGGCATACTCAGATTTTAAAAAAAAATTAAAAAAATGTTTTTAAAAGAGGAACTTTAGAAGAAACTGGCAGTCTAATTTACAAGAATTAAGAGATGGTTTCATTTCCCTGCTTCTTCCTTTTTATAGCAGAACTTCACAACAGAGTTACATATTTAGTTACAGTCTGTACTTACTGTCATTTCGGTAGTGCTTCTACACCTACACCATGACTGAAATTGTGTTGAGTTCTTCATGTTCTTGTATACAGTTGTCACTTTTCTGATCTCATCATGCTTTACCTGTTGACCACATTTTAGTTATTTGATACTTTTTAAAAATTTTCTTAATATATTCTAAGGCTGGAGCGATAGCACAGTGTAGGGTGTTTGCCTTGCATGCGGCTGGCCCGGCCAAGCCGGGTTCAATTCCTCCGCCCCTCTCAGAGAGTCCGGCAAGCTACCGAGAGTATCTCGCCCACACGGCAAAGCCTGGCAAGCTACCTGTGATATATTTGATATGCCAAACACAGTAACGACAAGTCTCACGATGGAGACGTTACTGGGCCCACTCGAGCAAATCGATGAACAACGGGAGGATTGTGACTGTAATATATTCTTGGTTTAATATACTTAATATACTTGTCATATACTTCCTGAGACAGCCACCATTCCAACGGTGCATCATTCTGTTGGCCATCTTGTCTGGCTCTTTTTTATTGGGGATAGGGGGTCCATAACAGTGGTACTCAGGGCTTATTCCTGATTCTGTGCTCAGGAGATCATATGCAGTACTGACGATTGAACCGGGGTCAGCCATGCATGTGGGCAAGCACCTGTACCCCAGTCTCTTATCTTGGCTAGCTCTTCCTCTTATACTTCCATGTATCCAATCACTATTCAGTTCTTGACACTACACCTACCCCCAAGTATCACAGGTGCAGCCCTGGAGGCCCTTGAAACCTCTCCATGTATGGCTCTAGAGCCCATCTAACATTAGAATGTTGAATTATCTGCAGTTCATTTCTAGGTTGTTTTCTCCCTTTCTAATCCACATTGAAAGTACATTGGAATCATGAAGGAATTTTCTTTATAGGAATATTCAAATTAGTACCTGAAGAAGGGATGACAGAATTAGAATATTTGTATTTTCAGCTAGTAATGTATAAAATAAAGATTCTAGATAACGATCATCAATGACTGCTTTGTAACATTAGGTGAAAAACAGATGGGAAACTATTGTAGATGTAGCAGGTTGATAACATCTAAACCCATTGATCAATTTTTTTGTTGTTGTTGTTCTGGAGGAGGGGTCAAAGGATACCGTGTTACTCAGATTCTGTGGTTCCAGGGATTATCAGGATTATGTCTGGTGGTGTTCAAGGCCTTCAGGACTGTATTCTATGATGCTTGGGAAATTGTGTGGTGCCAGGGGTTGAAAAAGGGTTAACTGCATGCAGGGTATCTACCTTAAGCTCTGTACTACTGCTCTGGCCCCCCCACCCCCCACCCCCATTGAAATCACTCTTGATTATCAAATAAAATGACCAGGTATTATGTGCTTTTAGATGGCAATACACTATATACTCTTTGATGTATTCTTACCAAATAAAAACCCTTCTCTTATCCTGATCAAGTCTCCTGATCCTTATCGGTTTGTAATAAAGGAAAGAGAAAATACCAAATGATTCCTTTGGAGATGCAGTCAAAATTCAAAGTGGTAAAGCTGTTAAAATGCAAGGATAAAAAGTGGGAAAGGGGGCTGGAGTGATGGCACAGCGGGTAGGGCATTTGCCTTGCACCTGGCCGACCTGGGTTCAATTCCCAGCATCCCATATAGTCCCCTGAGCACCGCCAGGAGTAAATCCTGAGTGCAGATCGAGGAGTAACCCCTGTGCATCGCAGGGTGTGACTCAAAAAGCAAAAAAAAAAAAAAAAAGTGGAAAGGGTAATTTAGAATGAAAGTGATTTAACTAAATATAATGGCTGATCTCAGTTTGGATCCTGATTTGAACAGCCCAACAATTGTAAAACAACAATAACAACAACAGAAGAGGCTGTTGGATAATTGGATATGAAAGAATGAAAACATTTTGTTTTGTTCTGAAGATTTTTTTAAGGTGGGGCCAGAGAGATAGCACAGCAGTTAAGAAGCTTATCTTCCAGTCAGCCAACCTGGGTTTCTTTTTTTAAAAAAATTATTAGGAAGAAAGATTAGGTCACAATAGTGGTACTCAGGACTAATTTTTTAAATTTGTTTTTTGGCCACGCCCAGTGGAACTCAATTTATGGGAAACCTTTAGCTAAATCAAAGAAAATGTGACTTACGACTATGAAAATTAGCAAACATGCACTGTCCTGTGCTATTGTTGATAGACTTGTTTTGATTTACTATTTAGCTCCCAACCTTGCAAAATCCTAACATTTTGAGACTGTGAATTTGAATGATATTGATTTTTATTTCAGGTTTTTCTACCAGAACATTTGGAGGAGTTGGGATGAAGAAGAGGAGGATGAGTATGATTATTTTGTCAGATGTGTTGAACCTCGATTGAGATTGTATGTATTTATAAATACTCTTGTAAATATAGAAAAAAATAACTGTCCTTGGCTTAATCTGTGATATATATATATACACATATATATACACACATATATATGCATATATATACACACATATATACACACACATATATATATCCAGGGGTCCAACATATATAAGCAGACTCATATACAAACTGTATAATCTGGATCAGAGAGATAGTAGTACAGGGGCTTGCCTTGTGTGCATCTGACCTCAGTTTGATCCCTGGCACTGCATGTGATCCTGCTAAGCACTGCTAGGGTGTGACCACAAAACCCAAACAGATAAGAATGAAGAGCAAATAGTATAGCCCATTGACAACTTTCTAATGTAACTCTTACAAGTGCAAAGAAACCTGTTAGATTTTATAAGTAAAGTCTGAAACTACTGACTCTAAAAGTAGAGAGTTCAAGATGACCTGAGTTAATAACTCAGTTTTGTAAATCTGAATCAGCTCAGTTGAGCTAATGTGTTAAATTCCTTTGTTAACTTCAAAGACAGTTGTTTAAAAAATGTGAGATTATTTGAATTATAGATGACCCCCCTTTTTTTTTTTGCATTTTTCAAAGTATGGTTTTACTAAGAGTTCTGCAATGAAACACAATAGGCTAATTTATCAGATTTGCTTCAGGATGTTATGTTAAACTCTTGTTCTTAAATCTTATTTCACAAATAGACGAGCGTATTAAATAGTTAATGTTAATATTAAATAAAATTTTCCAAAATTCTTAAACATACTATTAATAATTTATCATATTTTGACGGGGAAAAATTGTTTCATACAAAAATACCCCAAATAAACAAACCATGCAACTGAAGTAGTTGTTTTGCACTGACTATTAAATGTAGACTTTTAACTTTCCACTAGGTGGTGGCCTAAGATTAGCTAATTTTTTTTCTTGCACTCCTTAGTGATAATAGGCAGTGCTTTGAGAATAAAATTAGAACTTAAACTACCCCTCCCTAAATTATGGAAGTCTGAGTTTTTCCTGTGTGTGTTGATTTGATTACATAAGGCAGTAACCCTTTTTAATTCTGTGAAGCCCAGTTTGACTTAGTAGCTTTCACCTGGTTAAAATAACAAGTAAAAAATATGTGAAATGTCTGATAAATGGTTCTACCTGGTTTAGAACTATAAATGACTGAGTTCTTCATAAACTGGTTGTGATTTCTACTTAGACTTTCTAGTTTATTCATTGTATAGTTTGTATTTTCCCATTGTATATTAAATAAAATGCCAGAATTTCAGTAAACTTGCATATTTCCTGTATCTGGAATACTTGCTCTTAAAAAGCAGGGATTCATTTTGATTGAAGTGAATGAATAGTAGGTGAATATTGTGTGTCTGAAAAATTTCATCTTTATTTGGAAAAAGATTGCATTCTGATTTGGCAGTGTTACATGTGTGAACAAGAAATGACTTACATACATACCTTGTACTTCGCTGGCAGACGGGATCATATAAGGCAGGATTGTCTTCAGTTATGAGCAGTAGCTAATGGTACTTGATGGAGAATCTCGAATATTATCAAATGTAGGTTAGACTTTACAAAGAGTCCTGGGCTAAGATAAGAGTATAGCTATCAAGGGGCTGGAGCAATGGCACAGCAGGTAGGGCATTTGCCTTGCACGCGGCCAACCCGCGTTTGATTCCCGGCATCCCATATGGTCCCCTGGGCACCGCCAGGGGTAATTCCTGAGTGCAGAGCCAGGAGTAGCCCCTGTGCATCGCCAGGTGTGAGCCAAAAAAGCAAAAATAAATAAATAAATAAATAAATAAATAAATGAGTATAGCTATCAAAAGGCAATTAAATAATTTAAAAATTAAAGCCGTTCAATTTTGATTTAGATACTATGTATTATAGTATTAATAATAGAGTTGCAGACATACAGTGTATCGCCACATCCACCACCACAGAGTCAATCCCTCTGCCATGTCTCAAGGTCCCTTGACATCCAAGCATCCCTTTGGTAAACTCAGTTCTGGAGCACTCCTCTCAGGGGCTTTTGCTATTGACGACTTCTTTTTCTTTATTTTTTTGTGGGAGTGGGGAGTGGGGATTTTTCTTTTTTTGGGGGGGGCTGCACATGGTGGTGTTCAGGACTTATTCTTAGCTCTGTGCTTAGGGATCACTTTTGGTAGGCTCACGGTGCTGGGATCGAACCCAGTTCTACCACATGCAAGGCAAGTGCCCTACACTCTGTATTATTGTGCTAGCCCCCATTGACCATTTCTTACTTCGTTGCTAGGTTTCTTTATATTCCACATATGAGAGAGATCATTTTGAAAATTGTCCATATTCTGTAGATTAACTTCACTTAGTATGATATGCTCTAGTTCCATCCTGGAAGTTCCTAATTGCATAATTTTTTTCTTTTCTTATAACTGAGTAGTATTCCTTTGTGTATATCTAACCACAGTTTATTTATCTATTCATCTATTCTTGGGCACTTCAATTTAACAGGTAATTTTAAAGGTAAACATGGTATATTTTCCTGCTTTTTGTATCATGTATAAATACCTTTCTTGATCTAATTCAAACCACTTTGCTTCAAAACTTATGTCTCTAAAATAGTTTATACATTTATTTACAGACTTTGAGTATCACTATAATAGGAGAGATACATTGATTGGCATAAATATTGGAAATGCTAAGACTTATTTTAAATTTTGAATCTTAGTCATTTATAATAGATCTGATCAAGAAGACATTGATTTTGCCCCCAATTTCCTGCTTACACAGTGGGTATCCAGATGTCATTAAATGAGTATGGGTTAACTAATGTAGACAGAATCCTTACTTTTCAAACATCACCTAATTCATTTACTTGAAATGCAGAAAGCAAAGATATTTAAATGTATAAACATTTAAAAAATTAGATATTTGGTGGTCACCATGATTTGTTGTAGATTTGTTTAAAATGTGATTCTGTCCTTCCTCCCTCTGCCATCTTATTTAGAGCATGACAGTTTTTTAAAAAAAAAAAATCTTCCCCCCCCAAAAAATACAAAAACTAAGGCAATAGTTCTGAACCTTAACTAATTAGAAACCTCCTAGAGACCATCTAATTGGTCTGAATTGCATGACCTGTTCATATGTGTGTTTAAATGCTCTCCAGTGTTCTAATATGCAGTCAAAGTTGAGATAACTCTGACCCAAGGCATGGCTCATCAATATGTTTTTAATTGAGAAATAAAGCTATTATTTTAAAGCTATAGGTAATGACAAGAATATTGGACTTTATTTTAAAATCTATTAATTTCACATTCATGAATTAGCTTGATTGTGCATTCATAAATTTTTTATCACACCTAGAAATTGCATCAAGTTGCTTTTTCCATTTTTGTTCGATATATAGGAGATAATATATTTATACAAATCTTTGCATACATAATTATACATAATTTCTTTCTTTCAGAATCTCAAAGGCTTATGCTTTTTACATACTCTAATAATCTTCCTCAGGGAGTATTCAGCGTGATTTTGTGCCATGATACTTGAAATGTGAGGAAGTCCTAGATGATTTAAATCGTTTCTAATTTTCAATTCTACAAATATGGTATTTTATACATTCTAATGAAACAATTTGGGATGCTTTCTTTTCCACCCTAATGTCTAGTGCCCTCTGCCACCCACTCCACTAAGATTTTGAATTAATAGAAGAAACAATTCCTTTTTAAATAATGATTATAAAAAGTGCAACATTAATGTTTAGAGTTTCTAAAGCACAAATGATTGGATCAAAAAAAAAAAGGTGCACTTCTTCAAAAGGAGAAAAGGAGTGACCTTAATGAAGTGGCAGTGCTTAAAACTTTGAATAACTTCCACTTAAGATGAAGTGCTATTCAAAAAGTCTTAACATTTTTCTGGTTATCTAACATAAAACACTTTGCTTATTGGGCCTTTGAGGACCAAATGGGCTGCCTTAATGATAGAAAATGTGTTTGAAAAGCAATTGATTTCAATTTGCTTTTTACCTTTTAGGCATTATGACATTCTTGAAGACAGAGTTCCTTCAGGACTTATTATTGACTATCGTAATCTCTTGTCTCAATGTGAAGAGAGTTACAGAAGATTTTTAAATCTCAGAAGCAGTTTGTCAAACTGTGACTCTGATTCTGAGCAGGAAAACATCTCTATGGTAGAAGGGTTAAAATTGTATTCAGAGATTGAACAGCTGAAACAAAAGCTAAAACTCATTGAGAATCCTTTGCTGAGGTATGTTGGCGATGCCCATGTGACTCCCTCCTAGCCTTCTTTTTTTACCAGGTATCTTCTGAGAACTAATTGGTCTCTGTTTATTTAAGGTATGTGTTTGGTTATCAGAAGAATTCTAACATCCAAGCAAAGGGAGTTCGTCCAAGTGGTCAGAAGGTCACCCACGTGGTCTCTTCTATCATGATGACTGGTCTGCTGCATTCCCTGGTTAGGGACAGACTTTGTCAGGAGCCATGTGAGGAAGAAATGGAAATTCAGGTAAGTGGAGAGTTTCTTATTCTTGATGGCTTTTTCTTTCCCCTTCTGATTCACTGCAGGTATTTATGAATTCTATCAAGTTTTCAGGAGTTTCCCAGAGTTGGTCTTATGTGAAATGGGAAGTACTTAAGATGTTGCCTTCGATCAGCACTGATCATCTAGCAAGCAGGCTTTGGACTTTGTGTAACAGCAAAGGAGATACTTAAAAGTATAGGTATTGGGCTGGAGCGATAGCACAGTGGGTAGGGCATTTGTCTAGCATGTGGTGGACCCGGGTTTGATTCCTAGCATCCCATATGGTCCCCTGAGCAAAGCCTGGAGTAATTTCTGAGTGCAGAGCCAGGAGTAACCCCTGTGCATTGCCAGGTGTGACCCAAAAAGCAAAAAAAAAAAAAAAAAAAAGTATAGGTATCAGAGATACTGTGGGGTTGGTTCTAGATCACTGCAATAATAACATGGTAATGGGAACTACAAAATCTTTGGTTTTCTAGTGCATATTAGAGTTATGTTTATATTATACTGTAATTTATTAAAGTGTGCAATCACATTGTCTGGAAAAGTGTAAACAGCTTAATTTTTAAAAACTATTACAAAAAAAATGTAATCATCGTCTTCACTTCAGCAAGTCATAATCGTTTTGCTTATAACAAACACATTAACTGTGAAATGCAATAAAACTAAACATAATAGAATGAATTATGCACTTCTTCTTTCTTTTCAAAGTAAGATACATTCGCACTCAGAATAATTGATACGTTGCTTTTGAAGGCTTATATTTATAATATACTGTTGTTTTCTAGTTCCATAGTGATCCTCTGTCTGCTATAAATGCTTGTTATGAAGGCGATACCGTTATCATTTGTTCTGGTCATTATGTGGTACATGGCTCATTCTCCATTGCTGACTCCATTGAGTTGGAAGGTGAGTATGAAATATTAAACAACCAAACTCTCAGGTAAGATGCGCTTAAAAAATAGTAAATTCTGGAGCTTGAATCTCAGAAAATATGATTTCAACCATTTGATTTCAAGTGATTTTCCTTGAAATAAAAAATTTACACTATTGACCAGCATTTGAGCAATTTAAGATATAGTGTTTTTTGGTATTATATGTGTTAGGAAGACAAGCACATAACAAAATGGATCATAACAAAATGAATCATTAGGAAGAAGCATACTTTCCATATTATAGGTGGTTTGTGGGAAGGAAATCTTCATTTCTGAAATAAAACTATATTCCTAGCAATATTTTTTCAAGGTTTTGAATTTAATTTGTTGCTTATTCTTGGATCCTATGTTACAAATATTTATGTGCATGGCTTTTGTTTTAATTTTAACTTTTTGTGAGAGGTAAAGTACATTTATCATTAAATCAGACCAGAATAACTTTATTTTAATTATGAGTTTTCTGTATGTCACAAAATCTGCATTTTGTATCTTGACCAAAGTAATTGCCTCTGAGGATATTAATGTTGAAAGATCCTATTAAAAATAACTTTTTTGCAGTTATGATCTTATCATATATCTAGAATGTTTCCTAAATTTAGGTTACTTCCTAGTCATTCATCTCAGTCCTGTATATTTTCATAATGTGTCAAATTTAGATGCACCTGTTCAACTATCTACCAAAAGAGCTTCAAGTTAGTAATAAAGCTTGTAATGCAAAAAACCATATATCATTTTAGGAGTTGTGCAGCTGTTCACAAATTGCTTAAGCTGTGTTCTTTATCTTTATCTTGTCAAAGCTTCTTAATGGAAGCAAGGCTGGGAGTTTAATTTCCTGCTGTTCACTACCACATCACCTCATCCCCCTTTTTGTTTTATGTGTGTAATTTTTGTTCTTTCTCCTCTCTAACATTTGATATATAATAGATGTATGTATATAAATAAAACATCTGCAGGATAAAATCACTATAATAAAAACTTTTTGGTGTAGTGAAAATAGCATTGATATTATAGCTTGTGTTGTAGATAAGAATTGTTCCTAGATTGGTGAGGAAATTATAATGTAATTGCCAGAGTGTCATAAATAACCAGATAAAGTTTTGATAGTTACCTATAAAAATAACGGTAAATTTGCTTACAGAGAAAATTTCTAAGATTTGAGGAATCAGATATTTTGAGTTACACTTGAAAATGTGAAGTTCTTTTTTAAAAAAATTAATTTTTAAAAATTGAGTCACAGTGAGATGTATACTTACAAAGCTTTTCATGATTGGGTTTCAGTCATAAAATGTTCTAACACTCCTCCCTTCACCAGTGTACATTTCCCACCATCAATGTCCCCAGTTTTCCTCTTGTTCCACCCCCTCCCTGCCACCTGCTTCTCTCTCTCTCTCTTTCTCTCTCTCTCTCTCTCTGCCTTATGGCTTGCAATACAGATACTGAAAGGTTATCATGTATTATCCCTTTACCTACTTTCAACACTCAGATCCTGTCCAAAATAATCATTTTCAACTATTATTGTCATACTGGTTCCTTCTCTATCCTAATTGCCCTCTGCACCCCGCCCCTCCCCCGCCCCCTACACACACACACACACACACACACACACACACACACGCACGCACGCACGCACACACACGCACACACTCACGCGCACACACACACACACTTGTGGCACGCTTCCAACCATTGACCAGTACTCCTGGCCTTAGATATTAGTCTCATGCTTTTTTTTAATCCCCAAAATGTTGGTAAGATTAATTTTATCTGATAGTGATCTATAGCTACTGCTAATAAGAAGAATTTGTGTTATTGTACCTACTATATGCAGGATATTCACACTATACACTATAGGGTATTTCTGGAGTAGAATATCTGTTCACTTCAGGTGATGATTTTATCTTTCAAACTACTCGGAATATATAACCTATTTATATAATTTATTTTTACCTCTGATTTAGAAGTTCTGTCTATTTTCTGTCATTCTGATGATAAATGGTTTTTTGTAGAAAATGCACAAAGTATATTTAAAAAGGATCAGAAGAAATATAAAAGTATCAGAAAAAGAATTAACTGTAATTCAGTCATGCAGCCTCTCCCACTGGCAACATTCCCTTGTTAGAGTCCTTTTGCATTCTTTAGTATTCCTCAAATCTTGTCTACTTTTCAAGTATATGTAAATTTAGTACCTTTGCAAGTTTTATTTTCCTCGTTTTTACACAATTAGAATTCTTCTTCTTTTTTTTTTTTTCTTTTTTGCTTTTTGGGTCACACGCGGCGATGCACAGGGGTTACTCCTGGCTCATGCATTCAGGAATTACTCCTGGTGGTGCTCAGGGGACCACATGGGATGCTGGGGATTGAACCCAGGTTAGCCTCGTGCAAAGCAAATGCCTACCTGCTGTATTATAGCTCCAGCCCCCACAATTAGAATTCTAATTCTAATTAGAATGTGGCTTTCCTTTTTGTTGAAAGTCAGGTAAGTTCTTTAGTTTTTTTATACATCAAATTTAGTAAGTCCATTGAGAGGGCTGGCTTCTATTACTAGTTTAATTAAGATTTATAGAGTTCCAATTTTTTTTAATTGGCTAACAATATAGATCTTTAAACTTAAAGAAAAAATAAGTAAGACCATTTTAGATCACTGTCAGATTTCGTTTAAGAGAATACTAAAATTAGATAGTCTTAGATGCTTGGGCAGTTTCAAACCTAATTTTCTTTTTCCTTCTTTCCTTCCCTTCATTATTGTTGCTATCATTATAACCAGTTGTCACACACACCTGGCTCTGGTGCTTGCACATTTAAGTTGTGGTCCTTGATGGGGGAGCTGTACATCTGGTAACAATGCTTGTAAATACTGCTGCATGCTACCTGGGTTCACAACCTTTACTTAGTTGTGGCACTCCCACATACCTGGCTGTGACATGCTGGAGATCACATGTTCGGCAGCAGTGCCAGGAGTTCCAAACAGCAGAGCTGTGGGTACTGTGCTTGGCAGTGACACTAAGCATGGAGCTCACAACTTCAGACTTACAAGGCAGAACTTTAAGCCACTGAGCCATCTTCTGACGCCCTCCCCCCGCCACAACCTAATTTATATTAGAATAATAGAATCTTAGGGAAAATTTTAGTTTTACATGCTTTCAAGCCTTTCAACTCAGTTGTAAGATTATTTTCTTTCGGTTTTTTGCACCTACCTCATGGTACTCAGGGCTTCCTCCTGGTTCTGTACTTAGGGCACCATATGCAGTGCAGAGGATTGAACAAGGATTTGTCTTCTTTAAGACAAGTGCCTTCACTGTCTCTACTGTTTCTGGAAGTCTGAGATTTTTTTCTTTTCTTTTCTGTTTTACTTTTTTCTTTCTTTTCTTTTTTCTGTTTTCTGTCTTTACTTTCTTTTCTTCTTTTTTTTTTTTCTTTTGGGTCACATCCGGTGATGCACAGGAGTTACTCCTGGCTCCTGCACTCAGGAATTACTCCTTGTGGTGCTCGGGAGACCATATGGGATGCTGGGAATACAACCTGGGTCGGCCGTGTGCAAGGCAAGCAAACGCTGTGCTATTGCTGCAGCCCCTTTTCTTTTTCTTTCCTTTCCTTTTCTTTTCCTTCTCCCTCCCTTGCTCCCTCTCTCTTTTTCTTCTCCATTTTTATTGAGTTACCATGATTTGTGATTTATAGTACTATTATATTTTTCATGCATATTGTGCTCCAAGTATCACCCTCCATCAGAGTATCCATTTTCTTCATCCATATCTCAAGGGCCCCTCCCCTCTCCACCCACTCTTCCCTAGAGTCAGCTCAGTTCTGTAGAGAAAATTTCCAGTTCTGATACCTTTGGCTTTTTGTTGTTTCCTTACTATGTTTCTTTTTTTTTTTTTTTAATTTAATTTATTTATTTATTGAATCACTGTGGGAAAGGTTACAAAGCTTTCAGGTTTAGGTCTCAGTCATGCAAATATCAAACACATTTCCCTTTACCAATACTTATTTTTTACCATGAAGAACCCCAATAAGACCCCACCCCTCACCCCTCCCAGTCCCTGTGAGGCAGATGAATTCTAGGTAACACTCTATCTGCTTTGATTAGATTCATTGTTTCATTAAAAGATTCACCACTATTATTTGGAGTTTACCCCCCCCCCCCCAAATCAGACATGCTGAAAAAGCATTGTGAAGTGATTTGCTTTCTACAGCTGGGTTCAAGAATTAAATGTTGGTTTTGGATTTCTGCTATTTTACTTATTGACCCTGGAAGTATTTCTACTGAAAGTCAGATAGTTAAGAAATTGGTTTCTGTGCTCTGGAGTCGTGCTGGAGAGCCGCTCGTGGGGGGCAACTGGTGGCCTCGGTAGGGCGTGAAGGGCAGACCGAAACGCCCCCCTTCCCATGAGGTTTTAGTCGCCCCCACACCCCCGGCTCATACCTGCTGTCCACAAGGCTCCTATGCGGCCGCCATCTTTCTTTCCAGGGAGGAAAGGGCGAATGGGGCAACACCCTTTCCCCTCCGGACAGACATGATGGCCTGGATTAACGCATAGTCCGTTCACTTTTCTGCTCCAAGCTGCTGGGTTCTGCATTAAGTCCTTGTGCTTCTGGGGCCGTGGCTGTGCTGGAGAGCTGCTCGCGGGGGGCAAATGGTGACCTCGGTAGGGCATGAAGGATGGACTGGAATGCCCCCCTTCCCATGAGGTTTTAGTCGCCCCCACACCCCCGGCTCATACCTGCTGTCCACAAGGCTCCCGTGTGGCCGCCATCTTTCTTTCCAGAGCGAGAAGGGCGGAAGGGAGCAACACCCTTTCCCCTCCAGGCAGACATGATGGCCTGGATTAATGCATAGTCCTTTCACTTTTCTGCTCCAAGATGCTGGGTTCTGCATTAAGTCCTTGTGCTTCTGGGACCGTGGCTGTGCTGGAGAGCCGCTCGTGGAGGGCAACTGGTGACCTTGGTAGGGCATGAAGGATGGACCGGAACGTCCCC